GGGTCATCGAGCAATAAGACAAAAGAGGGAATCTAATCCTTATGAAAAGGAGACCAAAAAAGTGGCCTCTGATGGCGGACATATCCGGAAATGCGAATGCGCGAAATTTAAATTTTCCGACACTTATCAACAGTAGCTATATATTTTTCAAAATGTGTCTTAGACGAGAAAGTTTTAATTAATTATTAATGATAAGAGTCTAAAATGCGACACAATTGTTAAAAAACTTCAATATAAATAAGATTTCATGTGACATTTGGGATAAACAATAACACAACCCAACTAAATTTGATGTCAAACAAGGAGAGAGACTCTCTTTCCTTGTTTAAAGTGGCCTCTAAAGATCGCACTTCCTGTCTAACAATATGTTTGCCCCCACTACCTTTACATTCCCTCTATTGTCTTTTTGCTCGATGATCGGGGTACACAAAATATATGGGAGTTTTAAATAGGAATTACAAATAAAAAATATTAAAACTTTATTTGTTGTATATCTCAATATTTAGTGACAATTGTGTGACTTAATCAGGAGAATACTGTAAATTTATTAAGACGAGATATTGACAAAAGTTAAGTATTTCATTACTTACAATATACTAATACTCTTATATTTGTAAATAATGAAGTATTATTTATAAATACAGAAAAAGTTCTTTGTTTAAAATTTGTTCTGATAAAAATTTGTAGTGCCAAAGTGTGGATAGAAGCTTGCAGACGAGAAGATTTATTATTCAAAATGGATTCACTTTATAATAATTACAGGATTTGTGAACTGCATTTTGAAAATAATGTTATTGTAAAAGGAAATAAAATTTGGTGCATGACGTAGTACCTTCAATGTTTCCATATAAGACAAGCACAATTGACCACGGTGAAGATATCGAAGAACCACCAAAAAAGATTATCGTTTTAGGTTTGTATGCATTTAAGTTAAAAAATTATATTTTTCGAAAGCAATATTTTATGGTGATATATTTTCATGCTAAGGTTTTTTTAAAGAATATTATTGTTTCTGGATCGACCCCACAATTAAAAGAAACAGACAAATTAATTTAAAATGCTGAATGTTTACCTGCTGTTATTCAAGGTAGGTATATAATTTGACCTAATTGGAGTAGAAGTTAGATTGAGTTGACTTAGTTACAAGAGGTTGTAATACCAGACAATAATTGATTGATTAATCTTAACTGTAATGAATTCAATAATGCGTATATTTCACAAACGATAAAAAATTAACGATCGTTAAGTTAATGTATGTTTTAGGACCAAGTACGAGTAAATACTTATTGTCACCTACAGCTGCCACACAGACAGAGAGTAATTTAAGTAACAGATCACCGCGAAAACAAAAACTAAGATTAAAAATCTTTGAAAAAAAAAGAGGTTTGCTAAGAAATAGTAAGAAGCTGTTTGTGAAACAAAAGCAAAATACTCCTCTTCGAGATTTTATTAAAATGTGTGACACATTTTTGAATAAACCTTTAGCAAAAATTGTACAATCACATGTAGCACAAAAAGGAAAAACACCAACGTCTCGGAGATTCACTCAATTCAGTATTAGGAAATTCTACTACGAACAAATTATATCTTGTATCAACACAAGCCAAAAATAATCGGTGTATTTTCATTTATGGTTCCATCAATACGATTTTCACCATTACTTTGCGTTGTGCGATGTATTTGCAACATTTTGTAAATCAAAAATAATTACACCATTAAGAATGTCAACAGAAGCCGGCCCTGCATGTAACTATTTTTTCAGTGCAATATTTCATATTTATTAAAAGTCAACATAAAGGATCAATTTTATTTAAGAATTTATACTGTGTGATATGCCCACTCACTATTAGTTTTCTGGTTAACTGTCATTGGCGGCTTGGCCACGAAACTTTAAAGGAGTGTCGCTTCTCTGTGTTCGTAGTTCTCAGCAGGGGCGGCTGGTCCTATGAGGCAGGTGAGGCAGTGCCTCACCAGTATTAATCGATTATTTACGTTCTTTAACAACAATTTAACTTTTTGGAATTTTCTAAATAACTTTATTTTCATTATGATAAAAAATTAAAATAGGTACACCCCTGATGTCTTATCTTTGTATATTTCTTCATAATCTACGGGCCGGACAAGGGACAAGCTTAAACCACAAAATATTAAATAAACAACGGCGCCTATCACCTATCATCTGTGCATCTCATTCTCCCTTTAAAAATTATAGCCGAGGCAAGCCTCACGGCATTGCTCTGTCTAGCATATTAGACATCACATTATGTAGCGAAATTCAACATGATTTATTTATTTTCTGCCCACTATTTCACCGAACAGGAGAGGCAAGCCTCTCTCGTTTGGTGTAGTTCTTTTAATTAGCAGCGTTGCCGTTTTGGTACAAAGGTACCCAATTCGCTACATTTTTCCCTCGGGGTATAAAAGTACATTTTAAATAAAACATAGATTTTTATTTGAAAATTGTAACAACATTGGAGTATTTTCCTTTAGTAGATGGTACTATACATATTGTTCTATTGTTTTCCGATTTAACAAACAATATTTTTTTTCTATGCATTTACCAGATTAGCAACTTTGGTACATTTTGGAACATTTCTGCAAAATTGTTGTAGTAAGTAGTAGTTAAATTACTTCCTGTTGACCTGTTGGTGCGGCAGGATCACGTTTGACGTATCTCGTGTTGTTTTTCATTAAAAAAACAGTAAGATTACATGTTATATAATAAGTGCAATTCTAATTAAGTTTTTTTAATAATTTTGGTGGGTTTGTTTTTGTCTGCAGGATTTTCGGTTTTAGTGAAAAATGGATTTCGCACCGAGCACTTCGTCACAACTTTCCCAGGTAAATGTAAATATTCGTAATACTTGTAATCTCGTAAATTTTTTAGTCAAACAGCAGAATTTTTCAAGTCATTCATATGAAGATAAATAATATATAGTTAAAGTAGTAAAACGACCTATTCCAGATTTAAGTAAACATCTTGTTTCTATCGGTGGCGTCGGAAAACCAAATCGGGGATTTCAAAATGCATGGTACGAAAAGTTTGACTGGCTTACGGGTAGTATAACATTAAATAAATTGTTTTGTTGGCCATGCATTTTATTTGCCACAGCTAATACTAGCGACAAAGTTTGGTTCAAAAATGGTTATACTGATTTGAAAAATTTGTCTCGGAGTCTATTGTTACACAATAAAAGTTCTCAACATATTACATCGAATTGCAAGCTTAATCTTATGAGAAAACAAAAGCAAAATATCGCTACAGCACTAGACAATTCGCGTAAAATAGATATTGAAAATTTCAATGCTAGGGTTAAAAGAAATCGGCAAATTTTAAAAAGCCTTACAGATATTACGTCACACCTCTGTATGCAAGAGTTACCGTTTAGGGGGCATGATGAATCTAATGAATCTTTAAATTGCGGGAATTTCAAAGAGCTAGTTGTTCTTGTTAGTAAATTTGACACTAATTTAAAAACATTTTTAGAACATGATAATGACTCTAGATCAGTTTTTTCTGGGACATCTAAAACCATACAAAATGAATTAATCCATTCAATTGCTTTTGTTATAAATAAAAAAATTGAGGAAGAAATTTCAAAATCATTATTCTTTTCCTGGCAGGTGGATGAGACTACTGATATAAGCTGCCATTCACAACTATCCGTTATTTTTTGTTACGTAATAAACAATAAACCAGTCGAACCATTCATAGGATTTTACGATGTAAGTTCCGGGCGTTCTGCTCAAGATTTATTTGAATTTTTATCTACCAAATTTGATCGTGAAGAAGATGGCACTAGATTAGCAGTCGCCATTTATAACACTTACTAACAAATCTCCCAGATAAAAAATACCTACTAACCCCCAAAAAAATATAAAAATCCCAAAAAAATTAATAAAAAATATATAAATTCAAAAAAAAATATAAAATAATAAAAAAATTCACAAAAAAATTATAAAAATACAAAAAGGCCACGGGAGAGGCCACCTAGATCCTTGAGGCTACAACTTGGCCGCTAACCAAGGTGCAGGTTCGAGGATTACAGCTCCCTCGTTTTTCGTTCGCTTTTATCTCACGATATGAGATTTCATGATAAACGGGAGTAAGTCGCTTAACGACACCTTGGGTATGATTTAAGTTACATTTATGAGCACCCTATTACATATGGTGCTCATAAATACAGCTCAATCGCGGACTTTTTTAAAAAGCAGTCAGCCCTTATGTTGCACCTTCAGTGCACATAAGGGAGGGTGGAGGAGGGCTTAGGAGAGCTTTGAGGTGAGGAAGTCATTGTTTGCTGGCGCGAGCAATGCCTCCTTAGCCGGGTATGACTGGAGCAAAGAGAAGCTAACCATAATAATAATAATTTTCCTTAAGTGTAGTGTGCCTCACCAGCTTGTACTATCACGAGCCGCCCCTGGTTCTCAGGTATAACTGTGATCGTTTTTTTTTATTGTGATTTTTACCTGTGATTCTGAGTTAACAGAGCAACGAAATAGTCGTATGTTAACCTGCGAAAATTGAATATCGATACAAACACGACGAGTTAAACAAATTCAATAAACCGAAACTCTAAATACTCTTCATTTTCTTCAAATATTTGTTTAAGTACTAAGCGATGTTTATATCCTCCAAAGACATAATATTATCTTTGCCTTTGCATTCCTCATTAGAAAGAGACTTCACAATAATACCGCTGATCCGCCGACTGCCTCTATCTCGTTTTTTGTTATCCTGTTACACGTCTCTCATTTCATAACTTTGCGACTGAGACGAGAACGTGATATATCACGTTTTAGCGATCAAGAACTACAAACATGGAATAAGACCGAAATTACAATCACAGTCACAGTATATTTTTTTGTTATTAACAAGTCGTGATTGTTATTTTCTAATCATAGCTGTTAAATCACAGGGTAGTGATATTTAGCCCACCTCTACTGTTCATACCCCTTCGTGAATTGAATATTATTACAATATATGTGTTTGTACTTACCTATTGATACATCCTGGCTATCTTTTTCCTCTGTTTCGGTATTCTCTTCCAGCTGCGAGTTGTCATCTGCTGTATATACCTCATCAGCTGTAGTTTCTTCATCAGCGGTATTTACTTCATCAGCTGTTGTTACTTCTTCATCCTCTGTTCTATCTTCCTTATCTTCCACACTTACTGGATTTTCATTTTCAGTTTGATCTTCTTTATCTTCTACTTCATCGAAATTTTCCATCTCTGTTTGGTTCTGCTCTTGTTCTGGGCTTTCATTTCCAACATTGTCATTTTCTTTTTCGCAATTCGTCATATTTTCTTCAACTGTATCCTCTTCTATAGCTGAACTTTCATCCAATATTTTACTGTCATCCTTATCAGATATTTCATTATCGGTCTTATTTTCATCTTGATCTGTAACTTCTTTTTCACTTTCCATTTCTACTGTCTCATCTTCTTTACGAGAAACTTCATTTTCTGTTGTTTGATCTGTATCTGAGAGATCAAGGTTTATTTGATCTCCTTCATCGGTGTTCACGCTGTTTTGTTTGTCACATTTATCGACATTCTCGTTCTCTGTACTATCTTCTTTGTCTAAGGTCTCCGTGTCCATTTTTTCATCTCCTTTAGCTGCGCTTTCAATCTCATTTATTTCGTCTTTTTCTAAATCATTATCGTCTACTTTTTCATCTGCTGTATCTAAGCTTTCATTCTGTACATTTTCATCCTCTTTACTTAAACTTCCATTTTCACTTTTATCTTCTCTATCTGAACTAGCATCTTTTATCTCATCACATTTCTCCGAATTTTCATCTACCACTTTTTCCCCGGCATCAATAACAACTACGTCACTATCAGACACAATTTCGACTTCTCGACTGTCCTCTTCTTGGGTTGTATCCACTTTTTCGGTATTTTCAGTTTCACTTGAATCTAAAAAGAACAAAATGTTTTTATAAACCTTAGGATTTACACAAGTTTCGAGAATAATACAGATATTATTATAGAAACATCAAGTTTTAATATATATTCTGAACAATTCACAGATGTATTGAGATTGTATTTGTTCTACCCGTACATTTAATAGTTTCTGATTTTAATCTCTGAATTTGCCAAAAGTATTTATCTATTTATGTACAAGATCACCCTATTATTACAAAACAAGAATCATAAATTAAATTAAGAAGTTAGGTAGTACAGTAAGTTAAATATCTAAAAAATAAATTAATCCTGTATCTGGTCCTGTAGCGTTTTGGTTACATCAACTTTGAACGATAATTTCAATAGCATACTGCTTTACATACCCTATCTAGAAAGGTTGCTTGTACAATGTCTTTTATTAGTGTTAAGGCTGGCAGCGCCATCTATTATAAGATTGAGAAATTTTATTTCAATATGGCCGAAAGTGAACAGCTGTGTGCGTACACGCTGCTTGAAAGTTAATAGATATTTCATCATAAAAGTAAGTAAAAACCTTTTTTCAAAAATATTTTGGCTTTACATTCAATTCATAAACGTTCATTGCTTTAGTTTTTTATATCTAACATGATATTACAACTACTTCCACTTCTGAACCAGATCGATTTTTCAGTGGAGAGTTAGCTACGCCTTTGGAGTACTTTACCAAGTTGTTTTCACTAGAAGTTATTGAAAATATCGTATACCAGTCTAATTTGTACAGTACACAGGTAAGTGGAAAATCCATCAACACTTCGCCCCGTGAAATAAGAGATTTCTTATCCATTTTATTATTGATTGGAGTAATAAATTTACCAGCAGTAGAAGACTATTGGGCGACATTCTCTAGAATATCCCAAATTGGTATTATATCCTCACTATGCCGATTTCATTGCATACCAAGGAGCTTTCACATTTTCTGAGTTGTACAATACTCTAAACGCGGTTACTGAAAAAGAAACATTTTTGGTGTAGGTGCTAGCGTTGTTATAAGTTTGAGCAAGACCATTTCTGATCCCTCAAATTCAGTAATTTTTTTCGACAACCGGTTTTTCGGTCTGGAGCTTTTTATTTATCTGAATAATATCTGAATACTAAATGGACTGATAATAAAGGTGTACTTTTAGCAAGTACTTCTTGTGGGATTCAACTCATAACTGATGTACAAAGATTCTGTAAAAATGAAAAGTAAATGTACTCTGTCCCTCTCTAATTACCCAATATAACAAGAACATGGGAGGGGTTGATAAAACAAATTCTTTACTTGGATTGTATAGAAGTCCAAGTAGGGCCAAGAGATGGTATTTTCCCATTCTGACTTGGACATATGTGTCATAAATGCATGGATTTTCTATAAAAATGACTGCACTGAAAGAAAAACCTATACCTTTGAAAACATTTAGACTACGGCTAGCAAGTTCTCTCTTACGCACAGAAAAAGAAAGTAAAAGAGATAGACCTAAAAATAGACCTACAGACTAAAAATAAAATTCAATCTCCTCTTGCACTGAGACTAGATAAAGCCACAACACAGGATTCAGTTGCTTATTGGCCCAAACATATCACCAAGGGTAGGAGTAGATATTGTACATCTGGATTTATTGTTATAGCATGCAGTAAATGCGACATACGACTATGTTTGACTAAAAGTAAAAATTGTTTTTATATTTTTCACAACGAATAATAAACGTTTTGGTTACTCGGGGTTCAGTTCTAATATTTCTGATAGCTTTTCATATATTCTTCTTACATACTTTCATTTTACATGTTTGATTGTTAATTTTTTATTGTAAATAAACAAAAAAATATTTGATAACCTGATTTCTACCTCACCACACACCTTAGCTATAAAAGACTGTAGAATAGAAAGATAATTCATAATGTCATGGACCTGACGTAATCATTTAGTGACGTCGATCTACGAACGAAACAATGATATCAGGCATTATTAAAAACATGCAGTTCTCTTCATTGCGTTATCGTAGCGAGACAGAGACGAACTAGTTTTTCCATTAGTGAAATAGTTTTAATATTTTTATTTTTTTTTTGTAAACAATCGTTTTAATATTTTATAGGTTGATACTATTAATGTTCAGTGCGTTTCAAGTCGCTTTTAACATTTTTTTTTTAATCACTTTTAAAAGTATGTGTAATCTTGTTCTATCAGTTTATGATACAAAACATTGTTTTTAGTTGTTTGAGGCCCTTATCAAAACCTAAAAATGGATTTATACAAAAACGTTTAATAAATCAGGTTATCGAGGCAATAACTCGTTATCGAGGCATAAAAGCAGGAGGAGAAATTTTTTTAAAATCAGTAAGCGAACTGTTTAATAAATGCTTACATGCGCGTACGATTCCAAAAGACTGGAACAATGCAGTAATACTCTTGTTACACAAAAAAGGCGATATTACTAAATTAGAAAATTATAGACCCATCAGCCTCTTGACGCATATGTACAAAGTCTTTATGAAAATCTTAACAAAGAGGCTAACACCTAAACTTGATTTCTATCAGTCCAAAGAACAGGCAGGCTTCAGGGCAGGATATGGCACAAATGACCATTTGCATACCATAAAGATCTTAATAGAAAAGTGCATCGAGTACAACATACCACTGGTTCTTGCATTTGTCGATTACGAGAAGGCTTTTGATTCTGTAGAGTTTGAAACAATACTGGAAGCCCTAAATCAAAGTCGAATAGATTACAGGTACACGACACTAATCAAAAACATCTATCAGAACGCTACATCAAGTATACGACTGCACGAAGACACAGAAAAATTCAGCTTAGGTCGAGGAGTTAGACAAGGAGAGAATATTTCACCAAAATTGTTCACGGCAGCTCTAGAATCAATAATTAAGGGTACTCAATGGCAAGATATGGGCATCAATATAGATGGAGAAAGATTAAATCACCTAAGGTTTGCAGATGATGTTGTATTAATCGCAGATAACTTACATGATACAGTTTCTATGATGCATTCGCTTAAAAGTCTGTCTGAAAGAGCAGGATTAAAGATAAACTTTGAGAAAACTAAAATTATAACAAATCTCGTAATGAGTGGAAATCTAACTATTGACAATAATACCATACAACAAACAGACACTTACAAATATCTGGGACACGAAATCAAAATAAGCAGGGACAATCAAACACATAAAATACAGAGGCGAATAGGCCTAACATAGAGCATTTGGCAAATTAATCCATATTCTAAAAAGTTCAATTCCCATATGTCTCAAGCGAAAGGTTTATAACCAATGTGTTTTACCTGTACAAACTTATGGAGCAGAGACTTTAACACTCACGCAAAAATCTGCGAATAAACTCGTTACACAACGGGCCATGGAACGTGCAATGCTGAACGTGAGCTTTCGAGACCACATAACAAACCAACAAATCAGGCAAAGATCATGAGTTCAAGACGTCATCGAAAGAACCACGACGCTTAAGTGGAACTGGACAGGGCACTTAGCCAGAACACAAGATGGACGGTGGACAAGACATATTATGGAATTGAGGCCCAGAAATTATAAAAGAAGCCGAGGACGACCACCGACTAGATGGACTGATGATATAAAACGTGTAGCGGGAAACTGGCTACAAGCGACCCAGTGTAGAGAATACTGGAAAAAACGGAGGGAGGCCTATGTCCAGCAGTGGACGCGATTGGCTGATTGATGAAATATTTTACATTTTATTTTATTTCAAATTCGGCAGTGAAGACGGGAAGTGGTAAATTTTTATTACATCTTTCAATGTGAGTTAAAATAAAATAAAATGCGATGACTAACTAGAATGTTTAAGATTAGAGAAACATAATATGTCATGTTTTTGGAAATACTCGATATCATTAGCACGTGTAAATCCTAGCATGTCGCCTAATTTCCTATGAAATTAATATGGTGCATGTTTTTAGATTCCATTTATTTTTTCTGGCATGTATATTTACGAAGTTCACGAGGTTTTTGTTACAAACGTATAACGTGTTAGCTACAAATTCAAAAGTCACTTTCTTTTAGTTTTATGAATTTTAATTTGATTGCTTATCGTTTGTGGTTCTAAAGTGACACCATAAATCAAATTGGATATTTTTTTATATATTTTGAAACACTTTGCCAGATACAGGGTTAAAAATCAGATAACAATTGGTTCAAATGTGTACAAGACAAAATATAACAAATAGACTTAAAAAAACATTAGTCCAACAATTCTCCTTCTTCTTACAGTGCTGTCTCCCTACAGAGGTTGGCGATCATAATGGCTATTTTATTTTTGAACTTGCTGTTCTAAACAAATCAATCGATCTGCATTGAAACCAATCACGTAGATTCTTCAGCCAAGATTTCTGCCTTCGGCCGATCTTTTTCCTTGAATCTTTCGCTGTATTATGAGTCTTAAAATTTCATATTTTGGTTCCTTCATCATGTGGCCTATGTATTCCAGTTTTCTGGTTTGTATAGTGGTAATTAGTTCTGTTTCTTTACCAAGCCTCCAGTACTTCTTTATTTTTAAGTAAAACAGTAAAATGTAATAAGTTAATGCAGTAAACTATGTCCAGAAACTCCCAGTGCATGAAGACATTATAGCCTTTGACCCACAAAGACCAAACATCCGCCCTTAGTAGCAGTCAAACAAATATCCGAGACAAAATTTGATGTTCTCACTTCCTGGCAGCCGGAATGGTCTCAGAAATCATCTCCACAAGCGCAGAACCAATCATATATTCACACAGAAACCACATGGTTTTAGAGATATAAGGAAAACATGGACATACACACCATGAAAGATGTGTTGATTTCCCAAACAAGTACGGGAAGCTGCTATCTTCCATGTGTGACTGTGGTGCTGCAAGACAGTCAGTATAACGTGTAGTGGAAGAGTTCCAAATCTGAGCCTATGAAGGCAGTCGAGAGGCTACGAAAGGAGTTATTGTATATCTAAATAAATTAAATTTTTGTTTGTGAATTTTACTTTTCACGATAAATAAATAATGCTAAGTAGTTGTGAAGAAACCTATAAATGAAAATATGGAACTAAGAATAAACTTTATAAATACCATTTTATATCGAGACCTACTCTTTTCTCCACACATGCGAAGAACTACTACTTGCTAAGAAGTACAGAGAAAATATCTAATTATATTTAATCACCTAAATCTATTTAAAAAATATTAATTAAATTAATATAACAAAATTACCTGCTGCTCGAATCTCAACATCGGATTCTTTTTCTTCAGATCCATTAATACCTTCTTTAATATTACTTTCCTCAGTAAGATTAGTATCCGCAGTAGTGGTTCCGACAGTATCACTATTTAATTCTGTTTCTTCAGATCCATTAACAGCTTCACCTATATTATTTTCTTCTGTGGTATTAACATCTTTAATGTAGGTACTAGAACGCCTCTTCCTCAAAGGTTTTTTGATTTCTTGAACATAAAATGGAAAATAAAAATTGAAAGGAAATAAAATAAAAAAAAAAATATCAATTAATATACCAAAAATTACCTTTTGCCTGAATCTCGGATTTTTTGTTAACGGTTCCATTAACACCTTTCTTTGCTTTAACTGGTGCTGTTGTATTACTTTCTTCAATTGACACAGTATTGCGCCTTTTTCTCAACGCTCTAGGTTTTTTAATATCCTCGGCTTTAAAATCGTCCTCAGAACTTACAGTGATAATTGAGTTTCGTGTACTAGCTCTTCTATTACTATTAGTATTTACTTTGACTTTTTCCTTTGGAGCCTGATCTTTTTTGCCGTTCTTACTACCAAGACGTCCATTTGTTTCTACAACTTTTTAATTTCATTATTATACAATTTTTACATGATACGCAGTAATAAAAGACATAAAATACTCCAATGTAGTTCATTGGAGTATTTTATTTCCATTTTTACACATATTGCAACCCACACATTGTCTTTGTTTGAAAACGAAACGCATTTTTGTGGATTCACACAAATAATGTATATGTATAATGTATATATAAAAAAAACCAGAATACATTAAAAGAAAGTGCATAAAACAATGTTTACGTAAAATGGGAACATTAAAAGAAAATGCATAAAACAATGTTTCCGTAATATAAGAGCTCTGCTAATTTTGGGTGACAAGAGGGATGGATGGATAAATAATTGTAATATATCTGCTTACGTAATACTTAAAAAACTAGAAAGAATAACATTAGTCAAAAACCAACAATACCTGGTATAATTATTAACAATCTAAAAGAAAACTCAGATCCTTACTAAAGGACAATTTCCCGCAACAACAAAATCAACATAGTAAACATATAAATGAACGTAATAAAACCAAAATAATGCTTAAACAAAGAAGGAAAATGAAAGTAAGTAGCAACATACAGAGAATACAATACACACAACTTTGAAAGACAATAAGGAAGACATTAAGTCATTAAGAAAAAGTATTAAGGAAGACATTAGAAAATACAATGAGACTGGTAAAAACTGTAATCTCAAACAGGACAAGCTATAAGAAAACAAGAAAATAATTAATCATTAGGAAGAAGCAAATCGTTGCTCCAACAAACGAAGACACCAGAATTACAGACAGAAATAATACATCTCGTAACTAGATTCTACAGCGAACTATACAAAACCTCTGACACACTTGAACAAGTAATCAGTAACCAAGAAGATGTACCAGAAGTCTTTCCGTAAGAAGCAGAATCGACAATTAGAAAAATGAAAAGCGGTAAAGCAGCTGGAATAGATGGCATACCATTCCACTGAAACACAGCAAAAATAATTCTCATTCATAAGAAAGGTAGACGAATAGGAATAGGTCGTAGGTGAACGAACTAATAAAAACAAAACACATTCAGAAGGAAACATGGGTAGACTACTTTCGATCCCTAGCTAAAGGTGACGATGATGAACCACCAACACCAGAGGTGACGACAAACGAAGAAATAAATATTGAGGAGGAAGAGGTAAAGGAAGCATTAAGGAAATTAAAAAATAGAAAATCACCAGGAAGGACAGAATACCGAACGAACTCCTAAAGTACAGAGGACCAGATCTGACCGAACAACTATTAAAATTAATTCAAAAAATAATAGAACAAAACAGCATTTCCTCAAGAATAGAGATCAAGCATCCTAATACCTCTCTTTAAAAAGGGAGACAAATCGGACCCGGAAAATTACAGAGGAATTAATTTATTAAATACAAGACTAAAATCAAGAACCAAAGTGATAACAAATAAATTGAATGAAATTATAACACTAGCAGAAGACAAGGTTTTAGGTCGAAAAGATCATGCACCAATATATTTATAATGAGGCAAGTGCAAGATAAATCATTAGAATACAACAAACCGGCATATCTATGTTTGTGAACCTTACAAAGGCATTTGACCGAGCCAAATTAAAAGACTTTATCCACTTACTGTATACAAGAGAGATACCTCCAGGAATAATCAAAGCGATCGAAAATATCTACCAAAACAACACAATAAAAGTAAAAGTAGAAGAACTGACCGACCCTATTGAAGCTGGCAATAGGATAAGGCAGGGAGATTCCCTGAGTCCTCTATTGTTCAACCTGATTATGGATGAAATAATAAAAAAAGTAAGAACAAAAAAAGTGAGAACTCCTCAAAGTGAAGATGATTTACAACATAAGCTGTACCAATTTAATATAACCGCCAGAAAATTTAACATGTTAATTTAATAATAACAAAGTGATGGAGTTTAAATATCTAGGCATCACATTATCTACCTACGGAAAGCTCGAAACCGAAGTGGAAGATCAAGTGAATAGAGCAAACAGAGCTGCAGGCTTCCTAAATGAAACAATATGGAGAAATAAAAATATCGGGAAAGAAACGAAAGGTATAATTTACAAAACAGTCATCAGACCAATAATGACATACGCGACAGAAACAAGACCTGACGCAGAGAGGACAAAAAGGATGTTAGAAACAGCAGAGATGAAAACGCTGAGAAAAATTGATGGTAAGACACTATGGGACAGAGCTAGAAGTACAAATATACGACAGAGATGCAGGGTGGAGAACATCAAAAACTGGGTAAGAAATAGAAGAGTAGAATGGAACGATCAAATAAGCCGAATGATAACAAATAGAGTAGTAAAGACGGCAAGAGGACGGTTCCCCAATAGAAAGACGATCAGTAGGAAGGCCACAAAACCGATGGAATGGCAACTAACTGGAGGCACATTGAAAAACAGACAGAGTCATGTCTATATAAAAAGAAGAAGAAGAAGAATAAGAAGAAAGGTAACAAAGAACTACATTTTTTATTAAAAATAGCGGTGACTTGAAGAGCAAAAAAGTTAAGTGCAAATGTATGTGGCATATGTGGCGCCCTCTATCAGCTACATTAAAGTATACATCAAATTATAATTTCTGATATTTAATAGTACCCAGTTGTAAATTTTTATACATAAATGTTGACAAACATGAAGTTTTAGCGAAAAATAAAATTTTAAATTTCCACTTTAACTGTATCTTCTAATATATTTTATTAAAGCAACTTAACTTAAATCGTAACATTTTAAAGTGTAGAATCTATGGTTTCTTTTTGTACAATTACTTAAGGACCACCCGTATATATATATATATAATATATATATATATATATATATATATATATATATATATATATATCAGATTGAACGAAATAAATTCGGAACAGACGAAATATTATGTATTTCGGCTCAATTTTGCTGTAGGTGGTTGGCCAACAAAAGGTTGTAAAATAATTATATTATAAAAATCCAATATTTCAGCGGCCTGCTGGATTCTGAAATCATAAAAATTGAAAGCTACACATAAATCTACGATTTTATTATGCTGTCAAACCAGTTATCGCTACTTTAGACAAGCCCTTCTTTGAGCGGTGTTGTCAACCTCATTCCTTTAGATGTTTCTCAAATAAGGTGTTATCCATAAAATATTTACAAGAAAAAAAGAAAATAACTACAATCCATTAAGTTTATTTTTGTTGTTAGTCTGTTGTAGTAGATTGGTAAATACAATGAAAAATATAGGCAAATATCCGATTTATTTAAAGATACGAAGAAGATATAACTCTCAAAAAGATCCGCAAATCGGATTATTACACGGCGATTGGCAACATTGTTACGCAAACAACATTGTCTCTTGCGACACAGATAGTTGAACGATATTTTATACAATGTCTAAACCCAGGTATGGATTTATTTTTATGTTAGAGTTGCTTCCTAAGACAGAAAAGATTTACTTTCACGTTAGAGCAATTGTGAATTGCCGTTCTGACTAAGCCTATTGCCTTTTTATTCCGATATACTCTGTACGAATACTAGAAACCAATTCGCTAAGGATTTTACTTAGTTATGGAGATATGTTGTGGAATGCAAATTTTAGATTCCCCATGTCTCTAATAACATCTTTCTCAACGTCTGTTTTGCCTTGCAATTCTTAGAAGGCACAGATTAAACCAAAAATATGAATTTGGTTTCGAAAATTATTTCACGGATTTAATATCAGATGTCGCTATTTGCGTCCATTCGAAGCCATGTTAGAGTTGCTTCCTAAGATAAAAGAGATTTACTGTCACGTTCAGAGCGACTGTGAATTGTCGTTCTGACGAGACCTATTAGGCCGAAATACGTATAAGCGGATACACAGACGCAAGAAATCAAATCTTAACTATATATATATAATATATATATATATATATATATATATATATATATATATATATATATATATATATATATATATATATATTCCATACTCTAAAATAATGTTCATGAAATTTTTTAACAATAGCAAACCGAAAATTTAATGGTACAAAAAATGTTCCACAAACCAATGATAAGTATTTAAAAACGGTAAAATTTATTCTGACTACTTAAAGATGCATATTTACCTTCTTTTGCTTTCTCTTCTGAAAATCTTACATTTCGTTTTGGTCGTGTCTTAGAAATACTGGTTTTAGTCTTTAACGATTGTTTGTTAGACTCATAATTTACTTCGGTATTAATGTTTTCTTCCCAACTATCTATTCTAAGGGGATCTAATTCGTCTATAGATAAACTTGGAGTTATGCTATTTATTTCTGAATAATTCATTCTCTCTAAATTCACGACTAAATTATATTTACAAACTCTATTTACGAGGTCCTGCATGTTTTCCTTATATTTTTGTGCGTTTATTTTTCGTTTTCCAATGGTGTTCTTTTGCTTTTCAATGGCCTCGTTATATTTTTCAACGGGTTCTTTAGTCACAGGTTTGAAAGGTTTGGCTATAATAGGTTTCGGTTTCTTTTTCATTAACTTTATCTTAAAGAAAGATTTTTTTCGGGGATCTAAGGAATCAGGGCTACTTTCTGAGTCATCCATGCCTCTGTACCTAGATCTTCTCGAAGTTGTTTTTATCTCATATTCAACCAATTCTTCAGTTTCTTTATATGCATTTTCTTTGTCTGTATATAGTGAAGGAGAATTGTATTTATCTATAATATGCTCGTGTTCATCCCGAAACCTAACCCTTTTAGGTGTAATTGATTTTCTTACTAACTTAGGGACATCTTCTAATGACTGATTTGGTAGCTTGATTATAAGTACTTGATTAAGCAGCTTTGGATCAGTGTTAACTGTCTTGGATCTCCTTAAATGTTTATCGGTTTTTAAAGGTTTAAATTTCATACTGTCTGTTGGAACTGGTTCTACAACTGTCAAATCTACAATATCAATAGGGGACTTTCTCTCTGCTTTTGTTCTAGTTCTTCTTGTAGGTGTTGAATTCCCCAATACTTCAAACTGGGAAATGATTGATTCTTGCTTCAAAATAGGCTGAAAGTGAAAATGACAACAAATCAAAACAACATAATAAAGTTATATATGACTATATAAGTGACTGTATTATTATTGATTCTATATTATTATGATATATTTGGGATGTAAAGCCACTTCACCTACACGTGGTGCATTCTGAGTAACGCTGAATGAGCAAGCAGATATTGACAGTCAGGCAATCTTCAGGTCTCCTAACAGTAAGACACTTTTTACGAAACCTAAATGTAAACATGCTATCACAGAGTATGAACGGTACTTTTCAGGACCTTCTGACAAGAAATCTGGGACCTGTAGTCCGAATTTATCACATAACAGGACGCATAAGCTACTCCAATCAATGCTATCAAAACTTTTAAAAAGTAACGGCATCGACCTAGTCGAAACTGAGGAACACCTTCAAAAACGGGGTAAAATACCAGGCTACGAATTGTTAGGAGCAACATATCCCCGATCTTATGGAGTAGCAGTATATGTCAAACAAAGCATAGAAAATGCCCCTTCATATATGCTTCCACTGACAACGAAATCCATAGCATATTCGTAAAAATTGGAAAAATCAATGTTGTTAACATTTACAAAGCTCCAGCCACACCGTGGCCAGCCCATCTCATCTGCACACACTACCACCCTGTAATATATGTAGGTCCAGGGTGAAGCAATGAAGGTACAGAGACTGCGGCCCAAACAGGAACACACTAGTTGAGTGGACAGAGGACGAAAACTTTTATGTTTTTAATGTCCAGGATCATTTTACATTTAAATCAGTTGCCTGGAAACAGGAATATAATCCTGGTTTTTGTTTCGTTTTGAATGATAACAATGGCCAATCCCTAACAGTTTCACGAAAGGTACTTTCTGGCTCACCACTAAGTACTTCCATTCCAAGTCCAAGATAAAATCTAAAAAGAGCCAATTGGACTAAATTCTCCATAGAATTAGATAAATGCTTAAAATACATACCTAGTAAAAATTATAAAAGGTTTGCTGGCGCTGCAAAGAGCACTGCTAAAACATGCATACTGAGAGACTACCGCAAGAAATATATTTCTGAATGGGGACAGAACAGGCAAGAGATGTAGTTTTGGTAGCTTGGACAAGCCCATGGAAGATTTTTAATGGGACATTTAACCCAGCATGAGTCACATATAAATCAATACTATAATATGTAATAACAACTTTGAATATTATGACGTCAATTCTTATTTTTACAGGTGAGTCACAGGTAAGATAAACTTACACAATTTCGGTAATTTCACACAGCATTCATACACAAAGTTTCGAATCAGTATATAGATTTTTTTTTGTAACGCCGTACATTTTGGCTGGGACAGCGGTAAGAAAATCAAAGGCGCAACGAACTTAACAATCTTAATTTGAACCCCCATGGTGTGTGTACCAATAAGAATTGGCGGCATAGTTTCTAAAGTTTTTATTACATATTGATGTATTGATTTAGATGTGATTCATACTGTGTCAACAGAGTCATTAAAAATGTCCCATGGGCTTGTAGTCTACTACTTCTTGATCCGGTGACCAAGAAGTAAAAGACAAGCTACTCCACAGCCTAGATGCAGCGAGATAGGAAATGTGGATGGAAACTGTGGAGAGCCTAATGTTCCAAATATCGAGCAGAAAAGCTTGGGCACTACTACGAAAACTGGGACACACTGCAACCGCGCGAAGAGAACCTATAGCTGTTAATCCAAACGCCGACGCTTCGCATTTAGTAACAACATTCAGAGCGCCAAAATAAAAAGCTCACACGATTAACATCAAACGAGATCTTAAATCCCTTAAGGCAGAGAAACGGAAATTAAAAGCAGAAAAATGGCAGTTTCATGTAAACTGAATACTCCAGCCCCTTTATGTACCAAGATATTGCAAATGCTCCAGGAAAGGGAGGTTCCAGGAAAAAGGAAAAGATCCAGGTTTCAATAGTATCTATTTAAGAGTTTTTACTGAACTGTGATAAGTTATAAAAGTCTGGTTGTCTCGTTTCGAGATGATTACTGCTAAACCAACTGGGTTTAAATCCCAAAGAAGCTCTGCAGACCAAGTCCTATCAGTCACTACCACGCATCGAGACAGGATTTCAAGGAAAACTCAAAATCTCAGCTACATTTATTTTTCAGCAGCCTATAATACAGTTGGAGAGGGGGCATGATATACCAGTTTCTTCGTACAATCCTATGCAAACTTACGACTGATAGAAAATATGCATAATGATAGTATGTTACAAGTTGTCATGAGATCCAGTATTTCATTGTCAAAGAAACTAAAGAATTGACTACCATGATGATTAGTTCTTGATCCTCTCCTTTGTAACTTGTACATTTCAGACATACCAGAAACAAGATCAAAAAAATTTGGCTTTGTTGACAACTGGGTGTTTGCAATAAGGTGTCACTCTATCGAAGAGTCACATGAAATCTTTACAGAGGACTTGTAAAAAATGGAAGAGTATTTTCGCACATAGAGACTTCAGCCAAACCCAAACAAAACAGAATTCTCTTGCTTTTACCTAAATAATAAACTTGCGAAAAGAGGAGCTCAACATACAATTTGAAAACACCAGACTCATCCACAATAAAATCAGTATATCTGGATGTGACTCTTGATAGAAATTTATCCTTTAGAGAACAAAACTGCTAACACTAAAGCATCTAACAAAAACTCCAGAAAAATTAAAAACAAGAAACTACATCATTCAAATGAACTAGAAAGCACCTGAACTCCTCTGCTTTGGGTCTTGTTTATTTATCAGCAGAGTATTGTGCTTCAGCCTAGCTAAATAGCCCCACATACATAAAATAGATACTTAATTAAATAACACTATGAAAATGATTGATGGTGTTAAACCAACCCCCACACATTGGCTACCTGTTTTAAGTCACATACCACCTCCTAAAAGGTAAAGGTAAAAAATAATATAAACCTGCCAATCCATCAAGACATTGGTCTATCTCCTATTGTGTTGTTGAAAGTATACTTATTTTATGTTTTGTATTTAAAGTGATTATTACATTATTATTTATACTGTATTGTAATGGTGTATTTATGTAAAACTATTTTAAGAAACATATAAATTTGTTTGCATTTAAAAGAAACAATTATATACACGCTCAATTCAATTTTACAAAAGTTTATCTATAGTACATTTGAAAATGATTGATAGTAAAAATTTTACAGCAAAGGTCTAAATACAGAGTTGGTCAATGCTGAAAAAACGTTAAAAATTACCTAAATTTATGACCACCCTGGCAAACCTCAAATATAATACATCATAAAATGCAAATGAGCAAACCCTAAGGGATTAAGCAATAACTGAACGCCACAGTGACGGAGAACATAAAATTACTTTAATATAAAAAACTAAAGGGTAAATATTACGTACCTACATTAATTTTTATAAAAATACTAAAGATTGGTTTATGATGTTATATTGGGTTTTATCTCACGCGCAATAAAATTTGTGCTATCAATAATTTTCAAATGTACTATAGCATATATTACCATATACATTACGTAAAATTTATTTGTTCTTAAAAAATGTACTTACATATTCTGATATTAACTTTTCCTTGACTGTACTTTTCGTCTCTAGATAATACAGGCAATCAGAACATACATTTGATATAATTTCATCATTTGAACAAGGAAAATCTTTGCCAATTATTGCCTTAAAATGAGCCCATTTTGAAACATTTATAACATCTTCTGAATTTCCACACAAATGACAATTCTCATGCACTTTTTCGGCCGAACTTGAATGCAGAATATCATCGTGAGTTCTTTTCATTAAAACAAAACTATGGTAACATAGTGGACAAACTTTTGGAGGTTTCAAATTTATAAGCTAAAAGAAAATATATATCTCAGAGAACTTTTTAGTGCATAGCATAGGTAAATATATTAAATGTTGCTATTAAAAATATTAGTAATGATAAATGTCATATATATGCTAGCATTTAAGCTATGAACAGCTTAGTTATTTATTTGGTTCTTCAAAATTAAAAGAATAAAACACAAAACGTTTTCCCTCCTCCTTATGAAAGAAAATGGGCACATATTCCTTTTCTTTTAAAATAATAGATAATAAATTTAAAAAATAAATTCTGACTTTATATTTAAAGAATTGTAGCCTCTCAAGGTCGGAGTGTTATAATGACACATTTTTTGTTTACGGGTGTATAGGCCATGGCCTCAAATTATTTCTTTCTCATATTTCATCTTCAACTGAGGCAGACACCAAACCCCTTATGGTGATTCTCAAATATCTGCGCTATTTATAGCCTTTATGTAACCCAAGCTCTGTGACAGTTCCTCTTTTGTGTTCAGTTAAACCAAAATTTTAGTATGTTTTGTTGTCCCAATATACAATGGACCATAACTACAGGGAATGCGATAAATTCCTACAGTGAACAACTGTATGAGAAATTTGGAAACAATGTGGAATGCCTCGAATGTATTAGCTACACAATCCTGGAAATGACATTCAATCTTGAAAACAGTGTATTTCATATTATATCAATTTATGCTTTGGACATAAGAAAACAGAAAGATAAATGGAGGAGTGTTACAACAGTACAAGATATAATAGACAACAATAGTCTACAATGAAAAATAGTAATTCTTGAAGATCTTAATACAATAGGAAATAACAGTATTCTTCTTCTTTTAGTAGTCTGTCCGACTATCGAACATTGGATCAGATTTTGAGTCAACAAGCAACAATACTTTGATGGGAAGATTGTTTTACTTTAAAAAGGATTTTACTCCTGGGGCGAATTCATTTTCGAACCATTCTGAAAATAAAGTGGTCGACATCCATAGGCTTTTTTGGCTCCTATAAAAAACTGGAAGCGCTTTTTCTCAAATATCTTAGAGCTCTTTTTTTTGATTTCCCAACACACATAGGCATCAATCGGTGAGTGAAATTAATGGAATTTACATTTTGCGATAAAAATTTACTTTTTATTGAAACTTTCAGCCGTTTTGGTTAAACGATGTTTCGGTTAAGGGAGGTTTTACTGTATTACTTTTTATTATCACGTCAGAGAAGTTTGGATATCTTGAATTCCAAACATTAACAAACTTTATTCTTGATGATTATTATACTCTTGATAATTAGATGACCTAAGAAAATTTGTTTATAGTTTTAATTAATCACGGATTTCATTTGTAGTGAATAGTTGTAGTAATGTTAATTACATTTTTTTTTGATGCTTTGAATGTTGACATTTTTTTATGAATTTGATTGGGATTGATTTATTGGGTTTTGAGAAGAATGTGTACCCAATATTATGTGTTAAATATGTTGAGATAGTTGTGTCTTTTTTTGTTGATTTGATAAATGCAATACTCTGTGACATTTTTTTTATTCTTACTTTTTTCTACTGTCTATCTATTTCCAATTCTTCTTCCGAGAATCAACTTTTACTACTTTCGGGAGACATTTCAGCTTCCTATTCATGTTTTTTTCTTACTATGTCTATCTTTTTTCTATCACTAATTAACTTTAATTCAACCTTTAACTGTTATTATTAGCTAATTGCAGAAAGCAGGCCAATTTATGTCCTTTCTCTATGAATATCAAATGACGAAATGCATTCAAACCATTAACATATTTATAGTTTCAAATGAAGCAGTTAATAAATTAAATTGTTATAAAAAAAAACTAAAACCAAAATGTTTTTTTTTAGACATTTTTTAGTGGTTTATAGATAAGTATTAAAAAATAGAAATTTATAGTTAATGAATATAGATTCCAATTATTCATTATGTCACTTATGTGGGTGTTATTGGTATATTATCATTATCATTTAGTTTTTCTAAAGGTTTATGTCTGTTGTTGGTACTCACTGGTGGTTGTTGTATTTTCTGTTTTTGGATTTGCTTTCATTTTTTTTTGTAATTTTTTTGATAATTGACTGCCGAATAATTATATTGGCAACATTTTTTGTTATATTTGGTTGACCCAGTAGTGGTGCAGGAAAGTATGAATTATATTGGTGGGCAATATTTGGTGCATTTGAAGCATGTTGTTCATTACCTAAGAAACCATAAAATGGGGATGATACAGCAAGGGATTTTTGTGACTATGCATAGAGTTGAGGGTTATCACACAACTGCACATTTTGATCTTGATTTAGTTGTTATAGGACACCACTGGATAATTGTTTTTTGTTATACTACAACTGCTTTGGCTTAATAATTGTTTTTTGTTACACTACAACTGCTTTTGCTTAATAATTAATCACATTTATATCTTTATAATTCATCACTTTATTATTCATGTTATTTCACTTATCAGTATCAATAACCTGTTATGGCTGATAGCTGCAACTGGAGAAAGAAAAATTTTAATCTTAACAGAGATATGAATATTGTTCTGAAGATATTTTCTTGTGGCATTTGAAAGTTATTACTATTTAAATGGGAGTAAGCCAGAATTAAATGTTAAAGTATGTTTATTGACGTTTCAATTTCCACTTTGGAAATCATTCAATGTAATATTAAGTTTGGATGTTCTTGGAAATTTGTCACTTACAAATCGTCATGAGGGGTGCCAAATCCGTTATGTGAATTTTAAAATTTTTTTTTTATTTGACAGTTCGATTCCATTTTTGCCGCTCTATCGATTGGTATTATCCGTTTTGTGAAATTCGACCTAGAACTTGCACTTGCTTATCCTTTATGTGTTACAGTCGTTATAACAAGATCCGTTATGTGTTTGAAATAACACATAACGGATTTGACAGTTCTTCATACCTAAGTGCACGACGCAAGAAATGTGTTCTCGTAGTGAAAAACTGTGTTAAAATAATTGAAAGCTTATCAAAACTACGTATTTTTCACATTAAAATCAGTGTTATAATAAATATAGTGGTAAGTACTATTTATTGTTTTCCTAATAAAACTAAGTAAGCACCTACTTAAAAACGACATCGCAAAACTAACCTCAAATTTATCCTTTTTGTGTGCATTGGCAGTGGGGTACTAAATCTAAACGTTCGATGTTCTTCCTAAGGTACTATAAAACTGCAATGAGGCTTTTTTGCGTTACCGGCATATTGTTAAACATTAAAAGCTGCTGATATAATTCATTCTTTCTATTAACATTTTTGTCGCAACCTATTAGATTAGGGTAAGATTGGTAGGACGGATAGTAGCGATAAATTAATGAGGGAAGTGAAAGAAGAGTATATTAAAATGTGTAAATATTTACACACTTTAATATACTCTTCTTTCACTTCCCTGATTCATTCAAGTATGTACAGAATTTACCAGTCTTTCAACGATAAATTAATACCCTACCACAGCCAAGAATCTACTAAAAATTATATAACACCTTTTTATCACTGCTGTGTTTGGTAATAAAGAATTTCATTTTTTATGTATTTTGTTTTTTACAGGAACTATGAGTTCTGCTTCACAGCGATCCAGACTATTGCTAGACCTAGCAGTAGGTAGAAGAAGTATAGATTCCAATATCCCTTCAACGTCAAAGATATCAATTTTATCTGATGTTTCCATATCTGATGTTTCCATATCCAAATCTTATGATCCAACAAGCAAGAAACATACTTTTCACGGTACAGAAAATTGCCAATCTGGTGAATTGGATCTAGCTCCTATAAAAACGTCTCCTTCCAAGTATGCTCCATTTGGAGAGACAAAAAATGAGGTTCATTGTGGTGATCAGATTGATGTACCTACTTGTGAAGATTCGGAAGTTTTGGAGTTCACTTCAAAGCCCCCACCAAGCACTTGTTGTAATTCAAACCATATATTGGAAACCGGGTGCAATAGACACGTATTACCACAGATACCTACTGGTGAATTCATTCTAGATGCAGAGACTGGCATTCTCAAACTCGTAGATGTTAGAGAATTTGTCGACTCGAACAATTGTTACTTGGATGAAGTCAGTGGTCTATTTTTACCGAACGAACCATCTGAGGTACCTGAAAACTTCGATATTGACGATAGTAGCGGCTCCGAGACTTCCGATACTGAAAATGTTTCTAAAAATCGAAATAAAAATAAGATACAACGGGTTCTAGGTCAAAAATACAACAGCCGTAAAAGGAAATGCATTGCTGATGACAACAGTAAATCCAATTCTTACTATGACCTGCATACAGGAAGGTCTATAAAAAACAAACAATGTTTACATTCTGCAACCGCTAAGTCTGATAGGAGCTTTCTCTGCAGTTTGATATCAGAAGACAGACGGCAATCCCTCTTTAAATATTTCTGGTCTCTTGGTACCTGGGAAGCAAAGAAAGCATACCTCAAAAATCTTATCCGCATGCGCCCCGTGATTAGACGACGTAAAGAGTGTGTCACTGATAATCAGCATAAAAATTTAGCATTCGACTATTTTCTTCCAGACGACAAAAATATACCTGTAAGAGTCTGTAAAAACTTTATAATGCACACGTTAGACTTGCAGGCTGAAACCGTCACGGAATGGATCAAGACGTTTCAGGCGGAACAACCTGAAAATGGGACAAACCAAGACCTGAGAACTAGACATCAAAAGCGAACGACCAAGACAATAACGACTGTGACTAATAATGCAGAAAAGCAGCAATCTGTTAAGGAATGGTTAAATTTATTACCAAAAGTAAGCAGTCACTACTGTCGGGCATACACTAACAGGATGTACGTTGAAGATACCTTCGAGAGTAAGGCTCACATGCACCGGATCTATCTTATTTGGTGCCAAGACAACACGAAACCAAAAGCTAGCAAAAGGGTCTTCTACATGGTATTAGCATCAGAAAAGGTTTCCATCTTCAAACCTCGGAAAGACCAGTGCGATGTGTGTGTTTCCTACAAAGAACGACATACATCCGAAGAAGATTACAAACTTCACATTCTGAAAAAGAATGAAGCTATGATTGCTAAATCAGACGCTCTAAGCTTGACGGTCTTTTCAGACGTATTGGTTATTACTATGGATGTACAAAGCATCCTACTGTGTCCAAAAATATTAGTTTCTGTTCAATACTACAAGCAGAAATTGCAACTGCACAATTTTTCTATATACTTAAACAACACACAAGATGTACACCTATACGTATGGCATGAGGCGAATGGTGGAGTGACGTCCAATGAATTCACAAGCTGCATCGTAGATTTCTTAAAAAAGCAAACGGCATATAAAAAGTTCATATTAATTTCAGACGGATGTTCCTACCAAAACAGGAACAAAGTCTTGGCGTCTGCTTTGGCAAACCTCTCGAAGACCCAAAATGTCGAAATAGAGCAAATAATACTCGAAAAAGGACACACAATGATGGAGGTCGACAGTGTACATTCTACGCTAGAGAAGAAATTCAGGCCACCAATTTATGCTCCTGTCGACTATGTAACTAAAATGACCGAGGCCAGACCAAGACAACCATATAATGTGCATTATTTGGACTACACGTTTTTCAAAGACTATGAGAAGGTTTGCAATTATGACTCTATCAGGCCGGGAAAAAAAGCTGGAGACCCTACCGTGAATGACATCAGAGCTTTGCATTACACAGATGGTGAAATTTATTATAAACTACGCCAGCCAGATGACTGGCAGAAACTTCCTCAGCGTGTGCGAGTAAACAGTAATAGCTTAAAATCTCTGTATACTGAAGCTCGGAAAATCGAAGGTACAAAATTCGAGAATCTTCAATCATTGAAGCAATACCTGCACTCTGACTATCATGGTTTCTACGACAGTCTAACTCACCTTTAATTCTTATACCAAACTGATAGTGTCTGCTTTGTGTGTAACTGGAGATAAGTATTTTTATTGTTATGTGATTTTATATTATAAAGATTTTGATCTCGGAATTGGTTCTGATTAAATTTTTGCTATGAAAACATTGTGTAGTTTTTTTATAATTAATCTGAGGCAATTTTCTTGTAGATTTTAACACATAGTGGTCAAGTTTAGCGGTAAATTTAGCTACGTGCAAATCCTTCATGTGCGTACTATCACATGCAGGAGACTTATAATACCGAAAAAATCCGTTATGTGCAGATTTTGAGAAAAAAAAATTCTGGTGCCTTAGTTTTTTGTTTATATGTAAAAAATTTACATTGGATATATGCAAAAATATATAATTTAATTTTCGGCATTAAAATTTTTTTCATAGGAGTAGTAGAATAAAAATAAAACAGTATTTTTGCTCTCCTGAAAAGTTACCGTTTTTCACATAAAGGATTTGGCACCCCACATGACGAAATATGATTATTGTGAATAGCAAAAATAACAGTACCTTCTTCTATTACTGTCACATGATATTAACTGATATAAAATTTAAACTTTTTTCATTAACTGTTACTTCAAACTGAAGTAGATAAGTTTCAACATAAACCTTGGAAATAAACATGCCCAAAAAATGATTCCTAAAGACATTAACTATTGTAATTTCGTACTGAATTCAATATAAAGTATTAAAAGAGGACTGTAGGAAGAAAAATAATAAATACTCCAACTGTTTTGCTAATGAAAAACTAGTTTCACTCCATCTTGCTATGAGAACATACTGCAGACAAATAAATGTTTTCAGTAATATCAGGTTTCATAGTTTTGTTCATAGATCAACTTCACCAAATGAGTCAGGTTCATTAAATTATGTAAGACATCTACAGAGGTCTAAATTTCAGGAGTGATTTTTTTACCTCATATAGTAAATTAGGATTTTATCAAAAGCATGACTTACATCTAACATGACTGTTAATTTCCAATATTCCAATGAATGATTGATAATTACTATGCTATGAGATTAAAGAATATAATTTTGGGAATTTCTTGCTGCATTATTCTCGTTATTAGTTTTACAATAATTACTTTTTTGGTATTCCATTTCAGATTATAACAGTAATCAGGTCTAGCCCTGGTGTAATTTTTGGATTTAAGGTGGCAATTGCTTTCGGAGTAAATAGTCTTATTAGCTGTTGTAACTGAACTAAATAAGTATTTCTCCATTCCTTACATGCACAATACAGAGACAACACTAGAATCCAAACATTAATTAATTCTATCGTGTCGCATTTCTTTTTGCTATCAACCACATCGATATAAAATATATGTAACCTATTAAAGATATAATTAAATGTTTAGTAAATAACTATTACTCTACTAGAACTGACTAGAACTCTAAACTACACTAGTATCTTTCCACAACACAATAAATATAAACATACCTTATCTTCTTTTATTTTCCCTGAAAATAATGTAATAATTGTACTATGTACAGATTCGAAGTCAGACACTACTTTTGAATTCGCACAAAAAAAGCATGTTCCTTTTATTAACTCCATTAATACTTAATAAATAAAACAGGGATTTACAAAAAATTAACCGCTAGTAACAAAGCTTCCTTCCATCTTTGACACTTCACTTATCGATAGTGATTTTTGGCATTTGAAAGCTAACCTATTTACTGATTTGTCTGGTTGATGTTACTTCGTGTTACTTCTTTCATAAATTAAATTTGCCGGTTTTAAAAATATTCTGATATATTATTTCATACTTACATTTACCATACAATCGAATAATACATCAAATTATTCAAACTAATTACACTGAAAATTATACAGTACTAAAACACAATTTCTACATGAACCAAAATTTTTGAACCTACCTATTATTGTGGCAAGGCTTATCAACAACAATCAAACTGTAAAAACCGTCTACACTCTACACTGTTGTAGATAACGAACCAGGTTTGGACTCGAGGAAATTAAGAAAATATTAAGAGTGGGATAATCACTTGTGTAAACGTAATTTAGAATATAATAATTTGTAATAACGTATAATTGGAAATATTAAAATAATTAAAAAGTAGACAAATGAATCTCAATAATTCTGTGGCCAACCATATTAACGGGACCTACATGATTATTATATGATTTATGAATTTTGGAAAATGATATGTTTTTCAGATCGTTTTTATGTCCAGTCAAAGCGCAAATAAACAGTAGTAGTAGTAGTGCCACAGTGCCAGTAGCGGGACCACAACATCGAGCAAAAAGTTTTACTCGATGGACCACAGACAATACGTGACAGTACCACATATATTATACGTCATTGGTACCACACAATACGTTCGGTTGCTCGATGGTGACAATCATCGAGCAATAAGACAAAAGAGGGAATCTAATCCTTATGAAAAGGAGACCAAAAAAGTGGCCTCTGATGGCGGACATATCCGGAAATGCGAATGCGCGAAATTTAAATTTTCCGACACTTATCAACAGTTGCTATATAATATTTTTCAGAATGTGTCTTAGACGAGAAAGTTTTAATTAATTATTAATGATAAGAGTCTAAAATGCGACACAATTGTTAAAAAACTTCAATATAAATAAGATTTCATGTGACATTTGGGACAAACAATAACATAACCCAACTAAATTTGATGTCAAACAAGGAGAGAGACTCTCTATCCTTGTTTAAAGTGGCCTCTAAAGATCGCACTTCCTGTCTAACAATATGTTTGCCCCCACTACCTTTACATTCCCTCTATTGTCTTTTTGCTCGATGGTGACAATACATACCCACATGGGACAGGCGTGCTTATGGGACGAGCAATCATGAAACTTTTCTATTCGTTCTGTGCAGGTGCAGCCACAGCATGTGCAGCTGACGGGAGGCGATACACGTCATGTTTAAAGCGCTCATACCGACCAAAATTGTCAACACCGTCAGATTTTTATAACCTATTATTTAAAACCATGGTAGGCAATATTTGTTGAACCCATCGAGCAAAAAGACAAAAGAGGGAATGTAAAGGTAGTGGGGGCAGAAATATTGTTAGACAGGAAGTGCGATCTTTAGAGGCCACATTAAACAAGAAAAGAGAGTATCTCTCCTTGTTTGACATCAAATTTAGTTGGGTTATATTATTGTTTGTCCCAAATGTCGCATGAAATCTTATTTATATTGTAGTTTTTTACGGATATACGGATACGCATTTCCGGATATGTCCGCCATCAGAGGCCACTTTTTTGGTCTCCTTTTCATAAGGAATAGATTCCCTCTTTTGTCTTTTTGCTCGATGGTTGCACCGCAAACTGCTACAATATTAGTAAAAATGGTTGCATTTTTATTGATTTTTTCTTGAAATTTATAAAAAGCATCAGTGTGAACTGTAGTTTACAGCACCAAAGCTGAACAATATTTAAATTGAAATAAAAAAAAATGTTTAATTTATTGAGGTTTGTATTTTGATGATAACGACTTCCGGAATGGAAATTGAAACGTCAATAGACTTACTTTAACCTTTAATTGTGGTTTATTCCCATTAAAATAGTAATTACTTTAAAATTCTACAAGAAGAAAACTTCAGAACAATATTTAAAGTTGTTAAGAAAATATGTACCAATAATTCCATATGTTTAGTCTTAACATTTAAAGAAAAATTCAGTTATTTATATTATTGCTTGATGAGATCAAATTAGAATTGAAATATGAAAAAAATTCACTCAATTTATATATTTAAAACAGTAAATCTCAATTTTTTAAAAAATCCGGCAACGCTGCGGTCAAGCGTAAGAAGTGCTTGCTCCTGCATTAAACCCGAAAATCGAGAGGTGCATAGTGAAATAATTGTGCCAACGCAGCAATAAGTGTGTGTAAAGTTACAACACGTATCGCAGTGTGAATAAACCGACAGTAAATGGCTAATTACTAACAATAATAAGCAAATTTAGTTGTTCCGATACGAACAGTTTCTGTTGTGTAATTTAGCGATAAGCGTGGATAAGCGCAAAGGAACTAATTCGACCTCGGGATTCTGACCGGTAGAAACGCGGTGTTGCCGTATTGCAAAAATGGTAAAGAATTTAAAGAGAACAGAAGTATACAATTTATTGTGAAGAAAACTGCAGCTTAATAAAAGACCGATCGATAAAAGCAAGACATACGACCGGTTGACCGGGATCTACTTTTTACGCGATTGGGTAGTTGAACTGGGCAACCAAAAACACGAGCACAATTAGAAAGCAATGAGTAGTGAAGACGAGTATACCAGGGATGAGGGCAAAAGAAGGAAAGGCTCACAAACATTAGGTTTTGGAAAGCGCGCAAAAACTAAAAGATCTCCAGGCATGAAAGAGAAAAATTAAAATAACTCAGGAAAAAAAAATGGATATGATCCAAGGTTTGCAACGATTTATGGAAGCAGAAACGAAGGAAATAAAACAAGAAAAAAAAAAGAAGTGTCTAACAAAAATTCAAGATCTGAAAAAGGAAAATATGCAAATCAGAAAAGAAACTCAAGAGATCAAGAAAGATCTTAAACAAGCAATAGACAAAATTGAAAGACTTTAGAACCAGAAAAGAAGAAATAATTTAGTAATTCAGGGACTACCAATAGAAACAAATAACGTAGAAACAGTGAAAAGCAATATGCCAAGATTTATAAGTACTCATCTGAACATTGAGATTGAAATAGAAAGAGCAATTAAAATAGGAGAAAAGACCTGTTTACTAGAACTAAAAGATAGTAACCAGAAATACACACTTATGAACAATAAAGCCAAACTAAGAAATATTAGAGAACAGAAAGTATATATAAATGATGATATGAGCGAACAGCAGAGAATTATTCAAAAAGAAGTTAGAGCTAAAGCTATGGAAGAAAAGAGTAAAGGGAGTACAGTCCAAATGGGATTTTAAAAACTTATAATAAATGGAGAAGTATGGACGTGGAATAGGGAGATAAAGGCTCTAAACAAATTCAGGAAGAAATAGCAGACCATCAGCCAAATAGAACTGATCAACCTGGAATAACAAACTAGGCGAGAATAAGGTTTAACGATTTAAATGAATTGGACAAAAAGAAAACTGTAACAAAGAAAATTTAATACAAGATCAAGGTGCAAATAGACTAGAAACGTACATAAAAATGGCTACGTGGAACGTCAGAAGCCTTAATGGAAAAGAGAAAGAAATAGCAGATGAATTTGACAAAGCACAATTAGATCTTTTGGCGATCACGGAAACTAAAAAGAAAGGTCAAGGAATGGATGAATTGGATAAAGAACATGTATTTTTGTACAGCGGAGTCAGTACCGATAGTAGAGCGGCAGAAAGTGTTATATGCCTAATGACAGCAAACTATATGTCATATGTAAAAATGGGAAATTTATATCACAAGGAAATTTAAAGATAGAGATAACACTAGATAATTCAGAAATAACAACTATATTAGCCACATATGACCCTAATAATGACGAACCATTGAAAATTTGGGAAGGAGGTCACTGATGTCAGAGTTAAAAGAGGCCCGGAAATCTATAGTGATAAAGTATAGGTCTATAGTATATATGGTAGTGGCAAAGATAAGATTACCCCCAAAAACACGTAAAACCACTAAACAAAGAACGAAACATAATAAAGTGAACGAGAATATCTAAAACTATAAACTAAATAACCAAAAAGTCGCGACCATGTTCAAAAGTAAAATAAAAGAAAAACTAGCCAAATTATCTAATGCACATAGTACCACATAGTACTAACAACTTACAGGAAACTTGGAAACAATTTAAAGAAACCATCGTGACGACATCAAAAGAAACGTGTGGAATAAACCATGTAAACAGAAATAAGATGCAAACACGATGGTGGGACGATGAATTAAAAGCCCAAATAAAATATAAAAAACAGAAATGGAAAATATACTTAAACAAGAAAACACAAAATAGTTGCAAAGAATATAAACGACAAAGAAAGGTGGTGAAAGAAATGCTGCTAAAGAAGAAGAAGGAAGCCTGAGATGAGTTTGGAATGAAGATGGAGGTAGATAGCCGGTGAACAACGATGAAACAGGTGAAACGTAAAGACGGCACGCTGATTATCAGACCAAATGAGATTATGGAAAGATGGGCACAATACTACAGCGAACTCCTAACAAAAAGACAGCCGAAAGAGGAAACTGTACTGATAGAAGTAGAAGAAGAACATGGAAAAGAAAATTATATCCAAATAGAAGAAGTCAAAGAAGCAATTATTAATACAAAGAGAGGTAAATCGGCTGGTCATGACAAAATCACTGCTGAAATGTTAAAGACAATGGGACCAAAAGGAGTTGAACTTTTAACCAAAATTATGAACATGGCTTGGAACCGATGTACAGTTCCCGAATATTGGAGAATTGGCATAATACTACCAATCTTTAAGAAAGGAGACCCAAGTTCTTGAGAAAATTCGTCTCAGTATCGTCTCCAAAATATATGAAAGCACCCTAGAAAAGAAATTAAGACACATCGTTGAACCACATCTGGATGAAGTACAAAGTGGGTTTAGGAAGGGACAC